GCCGGGCGCGGTGGCTGAAGCCTGTAATCCCAACACTTTGGGAGGCCGAGGCGGGTGGATCACAAGGTCAAGAGATCGAGACCATCCTGGTCAACATGGTGAAACCCGTCCCTTCTAAAACTAATAAAAAATTAGCTAGGCATGGTGGCGCGTGCCTGTAATCCCAGCTACTCAGGAGGCTGAGGCAGGAGAATTGCCTGAACCCAGGAGGCGGAGGTTGCGGTGAGCTGAGATCGCGCCATTGCACTCCAGCCTGGGTAACAAGAGTGAAACTCTGTCTTAAAAAAAAAAAACAAACAAAAAAAACAAAAAACCATCTTAGGTGACAATAATAATTCCCTCAGAGGCTATTTCTATGTGAGAGATGACGCAGGGAGTACAAGTAGACATGATATCCCTGCAAACCTTTCATCTCCCACCTAGTTCAGACAGGCATGACTCACTCAAAGCTTAAGGGAAAGCAGATCACTGCACAGCTGGGAACAAAGCTCAGTGTATACCCTAAAGACTTAAAACATAAATGATTTGAAAGGGAAGATGAGCAGGCAGAAGACATTGCTTTTATCCCTATCCTACTGAGAGGAAGGAGAGTTTGGAAAGGAAGGACGAGGGTAAGACATGAGCAAGCAAGTGTAAAGAATCACTTTCTTTGAAGCCCTGTCCTCAAATTAAGTCCAGAGTGAGATGCTGTATGGAATCTACCCGAATGTGAAAGATGTGCTTAGACTAGGTGCTTGGAGAAGAGACTGCCCCTCTAAAGAGAAGTCACGAAGTCATCCTGTTGCTGTCATGTAGAGACTGCCATGTGACAAAAACCCCGTATCAGCCCCAGAGGGCATGTGAGGAGAGCTAGAAGCTGCTGGGTGTACCAAGAAGCACAGGAGGTGAAGTTAGTGCTATGGGCAAGACCTCACACCTGGGATGGGTGTGAGATATCAGAATGTCATGATCAAGTACATCCTTAACCTGAGGCAGACCAACACAGAGCAGAGTGGAAGCTGCTTGATTATCACAGGATTGTTCATTGTCCAGGCAGAAGACCAAGAAGTGTGACCCTCCCCTCTGTTGCTTTTAGGACTAACTCCGGGGTTGATGGAAAGGTAGACAAATCCCTGCATGTGTGTTAAATCTGAAGATGACATAAATATAATCCTGAATTGACTGAATAATCCATGAACTGTACTGATTTCCTCTGGAATGATTAGATTGATTTTCTACATGAGAAAGAATAGGAACCCAAAATAGAAAATTAGATTGGGTTGGGAAAAAAATGCAGATTTTTATACTTGAGGATGTAACTGAGAAATTCATAACTGCAATATGATTATAACTGCTTTGCTTAAGTGGCTTATCTCAGAGATATGTAGAGTAATCTTCTGGCTTGTGGGAGCCTACTGTGAACACCTCTTTCCAGCTCAGCATTATCAAGTTGCTGGCTTAAAATCTGCCGTGGAGGGAGCATTTACACCACAGGAATTGACAAATACTACAAAGCAGGACTTTTTCCCCAAGAGAACAAGTTATTAAACATTTACCAGCATACCACTGATCAGAACTTATCACTCATGAGCCAAAATATATTGATGTTGGATAAAAGATAATAGGTTTTCTTTTAAAAATTGAACTGTGATGTAAGAGACCGGAACCAGGAGAGTTTGACATGTTCCCAGGACTTTATTATTTGTTGCTTTAAAAAGTGAATTTATGAATGTGTTATTGTGTATATTCACAATGCACATGTAAGTTCTTTAGCATAGCTTAAATAACTTGTTTCCAGATGATACACAGCAACTAGGTGTGTTAAGAATATATATTCCAAGTTGAAACATTTAAACTTCCAGTTTTTGAGTAGACATGTTGGTTGATTTATTGTTTGTTGTTTTGCTTAAAGGAGGACATTTCTTCATTCAATGTCTATTTTTGATCAAAATAGCCAGAAATCTCTGTTAGGGCCACAGAATTTTCTGTTTTTCTTAGTGACCATACACATGAATTGTGATTTTTTATTTACTTAATATCAGGAGTGAGAAGTTAAATCAACTTGCTTTGGAAGCCACCCATGCATATCAAACTAACCACTATCAAGTTGGGTGTAGCTTGGTATGAGACTGCGAATACTGTACTATCTTTTCATAAAACAACATGAAATATTCATGAACATTAGTAGTGATCTTAAAATATTGTTTACTTTTACACTTTAAATGTTGGATGGATTCTTTTTATTTATCTAAAAATGGTGATCAACATGTGTATCAAACAAACACAAAGTGGTTTTTGGACGCTGAAAGTTTGGGAGTTAGGTTTCCTCAGCCTTGAATGAAAGGCTTTCTACCATCTGGCTCCATTCTCCTTTCTTGCCTTGATAACCACTGCTTTCCCTGTGTCCCCTCTATTCCCTTTACTCCCTTCAGTCCAATTATTGCCATGCTGAAAGATGTGCCATGTCATTTCTCTGCTTGGAAGGCTCCAACCCTTCATTGTGCCCTTTCAATGTCCTACCCTAGACTCCTAGTGAAATGTTTCTGCTTCCTTAACCATTCAGCCAGTGGTGGCCTCCACACCTTAAACTTCTCAAGTGTCCATTCTATGTCAGTCCCTCATGTAACCTGCATCACCTGCTGATGTGTTGTCTTATTCTTTGATAAAAGATGAACTGAACTCCAGGAGGAAATGACATCATCTGAGATGAAGAGCAGACTCTGGAGACAGTCCTCAGGGTTTGCCTGACTTTAGCAGATCTTTGTAACCTTCCATAAGTGACTTTACAACTCCTCCTCAGCTTAGTCTCTTCATGTGTAAGGTGGGAAACAAAATTTCCATTGTGTAAGACTATTGTGAAAATCAAACAAATTAGGACAGTGAAGCCCTTAGTACATTGTGGAATACAGAAGTGATCTCTGTTTATAGCCAGCAGATCCAGAGTCATTCCCAGCATTTCTTTTGATTCTATATGTGCTGTTAAATATGTTTATTACATTTTCGTTCAGGCTTCTAGGATCATAATTGAGGGTAGTAGTAATGACTAGAATGATATTGATAAGCCCTTGGACATGGTTGTTTGTTTGTTTGAAATTTTGTGTGTGATCTGGTCCTAAAAGCTGTAATCAGAATATGCAATTAGGGAGATAAACTCTATATTCTTGCTATGAGAGGTGGCATTTAGAGATTTTTAAAAGGTGGTATTTTATAACTGTCTAGTGTCTTGTGCTGCCCAGAGATCACTGAGCTTCCATAATGTTTATTAACAATTGGAAATGCCTTAAAGCGCATGATCACCCTCTCCCCATTCAACATAAAACATCTTATTTCTGTCTCCTTCCTATTTTCAAAAGCTACCAGTATAGATTATACATAGTGTTTAGATTTTTCAAAAATACAAACTTTAAACACTTTTTAATCTAAACACAAACCACATTAATTTAAATGTTAAGATATTTGTGTCAAGATACTAGATTACCTCAATATTCAGCAAATACTCATTTATTCTTTGGAATTCAAAACATGTTTCAAACACTCCAGAAAAGATTGATGGGAATTAATAAAAAATATTTCTTAGAAAAGAAATGACACAAAGAGAATTTAAGATCCTTTGAAATGTTGCGTTTGCTCATTACAAAGGTCTGTCATTTTACTTTTGTTAAGGGAAAGACAGAGCTCTTATAGCCTGTTGACCTTCTGAAGTTTCTCAGAATCTATCTAATTTATTTCCATTTCTCTGAGTTTGGCTATATTAGAACAATAACAGCTCAACTAATGAGAAGCCTCACTTTTATGTTTGAGCAGTTCACAAGTTTTGGTAAAAGTTCCATTCAAATATGGCCATGCTTTCTAATACGAGATTCGATTCTTATCTATTAATTTAACAAGCAAAAGCAAACTCTATTCTTTTATATTACAAAGCTTTTATATGTAACAAGCTAAATAATGAGAAAGTTGATATTTTAACTGCCACTGGGAGGTGGAGGGAAGGAAGTCCTCGCTGAGTGAGAGACGTAGGAACATGTGTAATTCAAATAAAATTGTGGAGAATGAGAACAGGTTTCATAGAAAAATGCACTATTTTTTTAGGCTCCAATGTCAAATTGGGCTTGCATTAAATGCTACGTCAAAAGGATGCCTTTTGCTACCAGACTAATATCCAACCGGCTTTTACCGAAACAACTCTGGAAATGATGGTGAGAAGGGACTGGTTATTTAAGAGGCATGTATTAAAGATCTCTAGGAAGGGAAGGCCATCAAGCAGGGGCATAGTTTCCCAAGTTCCTCTGCAAAGCCTCTACATTTACCCAAATCCCACAGGCCTTGCCTCATTCTCATCACCGGAGGGGAGCTGCCCCTGTGTTCTAAATTAAATCACTTTCTAAGTCTTTTGTAGTGGCTCAGGCTTCCTGTTGCTTCTATTTACTTTTTTCAAATTTCCCTTATACTAATGACTCTTGGCTGTCAGCACCACCATCCAGAATGTGTTCAAATGGCCACCCTGGACTTTGCCCTGTTCCTCTCCAGCATCTGATTATGCTCCCAATGCCTGCTATTTGTGGGTTATTGATTATGCTCCCAATGCCTGCTATTTGTGGGTTATCCACATCACCAAGTCCTGCCATTAGGCTTTCTCCAGTGCTTTCATGTCTTCACTCAGTACATATTTATAGGGAGTTTCCTGTGTGCCAAGATCTGTTCTAGCTTGCAAACATCATGAAAGCAGAGACTTTCTTCTGTTTTGCTCACTTTCCTGGTATTTGCCCACAGTAGAACATTATACTCCTTCAAGCCTGAGAATTCCTAACTCTGAACAGTACAACAACCCCAAGATGACTCTTGCTGAAATTTGATTGAGAAGATCTGTCTACACTGCCAGTTAGCAGTGCACTCACTTCTTAGAAACCTCTCATGGTCCCAATTTTCCCTTCTCCAGTGTTTAGTATATCCTTTATGGCGCTTAAAATTGGATCTTGCTCACCATCTCACTCCCATCTTTCCATAGTCAGTCCGATTTCTAATGCTTTATATTTTTTGCTCCAACTACTCTGGACAAACCGAAGCCCCGTAATATGCTACAGTCTCTCACACTTCCAGAGTTTGCTTCTGCTATTTCTATGGGAAAGTCATTGTTCCTTTTTCAGCTCCTAGGTCATTCCTGTTAGTCCTTTAGTACTAAGTGTAGATGCCAGCTCTCCCTGACATCTTCCCCAGCTTTTTCAGTGTGAGTCTTTACCTCTTTTCTGTGCCTCTTAATGTAGGGGCGTATACCTATCCTTCCATTTAGCGCAACTACATTTTTCTCAGATGAATATATTTTATGTCGAGATGGTGTTTTCTTGAAATGTACAAATCCTGCCCTCCCCACCAGTGACAATCTGATAAACAGGAAAATTATTATTTTTTAATTGAGTTGTTGAAATAAGGATTCAAACTACAGTAGGGAGAAAACCAAGGAAGGAGCCATAAAGGAAACAATATTGGAGGTAACACTGACCAGATTTGGCAACTTCTGTACAGTATTACTGAAAGGGAATAATTAGAAATGATTGTAACATTTTTAGTCCGAATGAATGGAAGGGTAGAATTATATGGCCATCTGGTTTGGACAGGAGGCAAAACATCCATTTTTGAAATGTTAAGTTTAAAAAATCTATAGGGCATCCATGAATAGATACATGGGAGGCATTCAGGATTTGGGACATAGGTTTCAAAGGAAAGATCCGAGCTAGAAAAATAGATTTAGTCTTCAATATATAAAAAACAAAACAAAACAAAACATCATTGTAGCCACAAGCAAGAGAAATGTAGTTAACTGAGAATGTGAAGTCAAGGAGTTGACGTGTCCTATGGAGTCACAGAAGGAGGAGCTTGTGCTAAGTGACAATTTTGGTCAGGACTTCTGATGTAGACATTTTTCTGATGGGTTTTCTCTCAGTTCATTTATTGACATAGAAGGATATTCCACAGATACAATATGTCAGCATACGAGACGCAAAAAACTGCTGTTCTTTTGTTTTGAAAGCATCATCCTCCAAGAGTCATGCAAATCAGAAATTTATTATGGAAGCTGTACTTTTAGATCATCTGGGAATTTCCCTAAATTTAACGCCCCTACTGTCATATTGTCCCTCCCATTTTTACATAAAGGAACATAAAATGCTAGAAAGATTGCATCCAGGCTTGCATGTAATTTTGCAAAAGTGACGGATTTTAAAAATTTCACAAAGGGCAATTATACTACACAATATTATTCTTCTCAGTTATGCATCTGTTGAAGGAAAAAATGGTGTCATTAAATGAAAACATAAAGTTCTTGACATTTATTGTTGTTTATTGAGCTTGGCTGACTGTACAAATATAGCTCCTAAAATTATAAATTGCTAATTTCTTAAAGTAAAAAGTAAAATTCTGAACTCTGAACATAAATTTTAAACAACAAACTGATACATTCTTAAGTACCTATGGATTACAAAGTTTCAGGAAACAGATATAATAAGAGTAATAACGACTGCAACATAATTCATACTAGTAATAGATTCTCCATTTTGCTTATCAAAAGTATTTGCTTTTTAACAATTATTGTAGGTCTCATCACGAACATGCATTGAGATGCTTCTGCTGGGATGTTGCGTTTCAGCTTCCACATTCTCTGTGGTAACAGTGTGCAGGAAAATGCAAGGGTAGGGATGAGATACATAGTATTGCCAGAAGCAATTTGAAACTGGCTAGGCAGAAACACAACCTATTTTTTTTGGGGGGGGGTTCCACCTTTTCTGATCCAGAAAATGTTTGCGTTAACTCTCATTCCCAGCTGGAAGCTACTTTATTATGACTCAGTGGATCAATATACACTGGGAACTGTCAACTATGATAGGTGGCCTGACAATCCGATAAAAGGGCTCATTGGTTTGAGTGGAAATGAGGCTGCATTGTGAGACATTCTTCTTATCAAAAAGGACAATTTAGAACTTTCCATTATACATTACAAATAGAAATAAGTTGGAGATAAACAGAGCAAAATGATGGGTTTTTTTCCCTCTTCTGCCTGCATTCTGCGTCTTTCACGTCCTGACAGACTTGATCATGCTCCCTCAAAACCCTGGCTGATCTTTATCTCAGCAAAACCGCAGAAACATTCACCTGATTTTTTCTGATATAGAATAATTAGTGGCCTGTAATTTGAGAAGAGTTTTAAACCTCAGTTTAGGAGATACAACAACATGGACAATTACAAGTGTGTAACCACAGGTTAAAATCAGCTTAATAAAAGTGCCTAGATTGGAAAAATCGCCCACCAGTGGTTTGTTACATTTGTTATATTTTCACTCTTCCCCATTTTAACACAGTGTAATCCCAAAAAAATCAAATACGTTGAAACTTCAGTTTTTTCGTCTGATGAGGTAAAGAAATCATTTAAAGCACATTTAATAATCAAGGATAAGGCCAACAAATCTAAATATGTGTTAGTCCCCGGCAAAAGTAATGGTAATGTATCATGATTTTTACATAAACCTCATAATAGCAAATCTTTTCTCTACATTTTTCATAAAATCATAGCCCTTGTGCATTCCTCTCATTTGTTTGTAGGCCAGGAGCCAGATGGAACTAGCTGGGGTGCACGGATATTACAGGAAGCAATTCATTGCGTAGTAAAAGGGCCTGCAGTTGAAAGCATTTCTAGAATTGAATGTGTGCACAGGGGAATATTGTACCTGCTAGCTTCAAACTCTGAATTCTATTTGCATACCACTCTATCATTCTGTTACAGAACATACCTGTTAAAGCCAGCATGTAGGTATATATATGTACACTGGGAATTATGAAAATTTATACATACATGTATATATTTGTTTCTCTCTGTCTGGTTTGTAGTAAAAATCATTGTGATAACCAATAAATGTGGAGTGATTCTGCCCCAGAATGTGAATGTGACTGTACTAATGCTATACATATAGCAAAATGCTTTTTGAATTGGATATATGCATTAATTCTTCTGACCACCTATATATATATTCAAACAGCATTATTATTGAAAATCCACCTATCATTTTATAAAGTCACAATATGTAAATGTATTAGCAGATTTTGAGATGTTAGGCACCCAAACAAAATACTCATACAGCTACAATGAGATATCACATAGTACTACTACAGTATATTAATCTTCAGATCTGAAATACTGGTTGATATTATTTTCTCAGGCCAGTTTTAAATCCCTGAGTCTGAAGATTAGATTGATAGTTGAGGAATAAAACAAAAACACCCCACATTTTTTCAGTGTTGTCAGAACTTTAGCTGTTATGAGTATTGTCAAGATGAGGGAGATCCTATTTGTTATTTAGTCCAGAGACATTTTTCCATCTGTGACCACATATGAGATCATCTAAACATCCCTAGCCTCTGCTAGGGGTTAGTCTAGAAGGGACTGACACAACCAAAAGACATCCCTTCTAGATATACTCAGATTTTCTGATTTCCTAACCTTCTTTCTACTGTTTTCCAAAATGGCAGTGGTTATGTAATGAACTCACATGATGTCATGGCACAATTAGATGGGGACTCCCCTGGCTAATACTGGTTATTTTGCTGGTAACTATCACCAGATTGTTGGCTGGATCTCTTTGCCCAGGACATTGACATCTGCTGAGTCTGACTGAGTTGATCCTAACATTGGATGTTCATTGATACACATTTAGCGACCCATCTATTCCTTTGAATGTTCCCTTGGCAAAGACCATCAACTTTTACTAGCTGGTCTCCATGATACTTCTTGTTGCCATTCAGAGTTCATGAAGCTGGCTGTGACTTTCTTTTGGCTAATGGATGAAGCAGTTCTGTAGTAAGTAGCCTTTGAGTATTGCCACTTATCAGGAAGAATTCCTTTGGCTGACTCTCAGCCAGACCCACATTCACTTCTAGGCATTGTTCTTCAGCTTCTTCTCTAAGGCTTTGATTGTTGAATGGTTAGGTTACTGGGGAGTATGATGCATTAAGCAGAAACATGAAAAACACATTGTTTTAATAAAAATAAAACACTGATTGCCTGTCAAAGAAGAATTGCACTGGACTGAGTTTAGCGGTCAAGGAAGACTTTATTCAACGGAGTTCAAGAAGATTGAGAGAGAGCTTGAACTCAATTCCATTGAAACAATTCCGTTGAAGCATTAGGCTGAGCTAGTGGAAATATACTGGAGGACATTGGGGAGGGGGGGACTTGGCCAATGTGATGAGGCCATCTGTGTTTGCTAATTGGATCTTATGTAAGTTAGGCTCCTACTCTCCCACAGAGCCTGGAAGATGGAAGTCCTATCTTTCTTGATGATTACATTTCAAAGGGGTGGCTCCCAGGTCCTTGAGAAAGACATCCCTGGATTGTAAAACTGGCAAGAGGCTGGATGAAGATTTACACCTCAAGGGGCAGAGACAGAATTTACAATCATAAGTTTTATAAAGTAAATGCTGTAAGAAAAGGGAGGTCAGGAGCTTAAAGTCAGAAAGAAACTTGTCTAAAGTTTAGTCTAGCTGAGGGGAATGTTATGGCTGTCTTGATCACGTGCATCACTAATAATGTCCCTTCTTGCCTGAGAAATAAAAATGACTACAATTGTCTACAAGCCAGGGAGCAAGCCCTTACCAGGAACTGAATCTCCCAGCCTCTTGATCTTGGACTTCTCAGCCTCTAGAACTGTGAAAAAATAAATGTCTGTTGTTTAAAATAAATAAATCATATAATTAAATATGTGTATTCAAGACTGAATTGGACGAATACTTAAGCCCAGAGGTAAACAAATCTCATTAATTGGGAACATAATGTTATATTAATGCGTTTTAGCATTTTTACTAATTGGGGAGTCACATGATTTAATCAGTAAAATGCCTGAAATTGGTTTTGCACTTTACCTTTTTGATGTACTATGCCCTAGTAATGCTGGCTTTTCTACCATTAAGTGGAAATGATGTCTGTTGGGTACAGGAGAGTGACTTCAGTTTGTTGACCCAGAAGGAGTGATATGAGAATATTTGGCTCATGACAGCTTATCATCTCAGTCTGGCTAGGGAAGATAAAAAAAAAAAAAAGGCAGAGAAGCGAAAAATGGTTTTAAAATCTTTGGGATATTGCCAGTAGGCTCTCTCAAATGCATGATGTCATTTACTGAAATGACCTGCCTCCCTGTAAAAGATCTAAATCAAAATTTTTAGAAAAGTATTATAATGGGCTTAGAAAGCCAACATAGGCAGCTCCTGATTATCATCTGAATTTCTAGACATGTGCTAAAAATCATTTTTCCAAAACTACTAGTTTGAATGAAATAAAACTTTGTGTGGAAAAAACAAAATTAGTCCCAGAATTTGGCATATTTGTAATTTTATTCTAGCCTTCCAGGGGAAATTTGGCTGTCATAAAATTTGCAAATCAAATACACAAATCAAAATGCCTGCATAGAGAAAGGTTGTAAATATTTACTTTTCAAAGCACTGCATTATTAAAGATTTCAGAAATGTCCAATCAGTCAATACAAGAACTAAGATTAAAAGTCGATCTGCCAATTTGTGGTGAGGGAAAATTGATTGACAGCAAAGAACTAAAGAGAAGACAATTTAGTGAGGTATTATTAATTTAGAAGCTTGCTGGGGAGTTGAAGTGAAAAAGCATCTCTTTTTCATTGTATCAAAAATTCCAAAATAAAGCAATACGTACATCTTTGAAATGTAGTTTACAAGTGATTAAGCCATGTAGCTCTGAGGCAATTGGTTGTCTGTGTATGTGTGTGTGTGTGTGTGTGTATGTGTGTAACTCAGTTGAGTTCTTCAACTTTTTTGAAAACTTCATAAAAAATACCGTGCAGGAAAGAAAAGTATTCTGTGCTTTTATTTAGTTTGGTTAGAGTATCAGCTTTTTCAGCAGTTCATATAAATTTAGGCCATGTTACTATGCGTGCATGACTATAAATTTATTTCAATCTTACATGCAGTAAATACTTTTTTAGCACCTATTACATGTCCAGCAGTGTGCTAGACCCTTGGGGTCTGTCAGTGAATAAAACAAGTGAAGGTCCCTCATCTCATAGAGCTTATATTCTATTACATGTCATATATAAACACTAAATATACTACATACAATCATATGCTATATTAAAAGATGGAGATTTCTGTGAAAAATGAAAAAGGGGTTCAGGGGCAGACAAACAGGAGGAGGATTGTAAAGCAGAAGGAATTTTAAATAGAGGAGGTCAGGAGATACAAGCCTCTAAGAGAGGGTAGAATTCAAGCAAAGTCTTATAGGCAGCAAAAGTATTAGCCCAGAGTGTCTCAGAGAAAAAACATGCCTGGCAGAAACATGAGCTTAATAAAGCTCCTGAGATGGAAAATGACTGATAGTCAGTTTATTCAAAGAACAGCAAGGAGGCCATACTAAATGGACGGCCGTGAGCTGGGAGGAAGAAAGAGAAGGTAGAGATGATATGGGGCTGGTTGAAGGGGGCAGATCATTAAGGACACTGCACGTGGCGTAGCGGGAACTTTGTCTTTCACTCTGTAAAGTTGAGAGTTATTGCAGTATTTGGTGCACAGGTATAATATTTCACACCTGTTGTGTAGAGAATAGAGTCTCAATGGGCACAGGGAGAAAGAGAGAGACTTATTAGGTGACTGTTGCAAGAATCCAGGCTTGAATAATATGGCCTGAATCAAAGGAGCATCCATGAAGGTAGAAAAACAGCAGGATTCTTAATAATAAAGTAGTACCAACAGCATCTTCTGGTGGTTTGGTAGTATGATATGAGGGAAAGAAAGGGGACAAGTGTGACTCAATTTCTTTTTTGTACTGAGGAACTGGAAGGATAAAATCACCATGTACGGGCTGGGAAAGGATGTGAACAGAGTAAGATTCAGAGGGAGAATGGAAAATTAATTTTGCAAATGTTAAAGAGATCAAGTAGTGTAGAATACATGAGTCTTGGGTTCAGGGAAGAAGTGTAGGCAGATTTATGAATGAGGGAATTTTTGACATATGGGTAATACTTAAATTCATCAGGCTAAGAGAGATCACCAAGGAGTGAATGCAGAGAGAAAAGCAGAGTAAAGGTCTGAGACCTAGAGAGTCTCAACTTTAAAATATGATGTGAGATAAAAGAAGAAACCAGCCATGGGAGTGAGGATTAACTAATTAGGTAGCAAGAAAATTAAGAGAAGGTGGTTTTGTGGAAGCTAAGTGAGCCGTCTCTTCAGGCATAGGGAGTGATCGCAAGTATCAGACGCCACAGATTGTCCGTGTGAATGGAAGACTGAAGCCTGACCACTGGATTTAGCAACATGGAGTTCTTGGTGACTTTGAGAAGAGCAGTTTCAGTTGAGTGGCAGAGAATTAAAGTCTGATTGGAGTTGGCCCAAGAAAGAACAGGATGAGAAAAGTTGGAAAGTGATGTGAATATACATTATTTGAAGACTGTTAACATTAAAAGAAGAGGAAAAAAATAGAATGGGTTCCAGAAAAGTTTTATTATTTTCCTTTTAAAATGAGAAAAATAAGAGCGTGCTGATGTAACGTGCACTGATGGGAATTATCCATTAAAGAGAAAAATAATGAAGCAGGAGAGAGACGAGAATTGCTGAAGCGGTGACCCTGAGATGGATCTGCACAAGTAAGGGGCCCAACAACTGGCTTATGTAACTAGAAAGCACAGCAAACAATGCAGGCACAGCGGGACCTAGCATCCTGATTGTGTTTTCAGAACTTTGGTTTCACTCATTTTTTTTTTTTTTTTTGAGACGGAGTTTCGCTCTTGTTGCCCAGGCTGGAGTGCAATGGCGCAATCTCGGCTCACCGCAACCTCCGCCTCCTGGGTTCAGGCAATTCTCCTGCCTCAGCCTCCTGAGTAGCTGGGATTACAGGCACGCGCCACCATGCCCAGCTAATTTTTTGTATTTTTAGTAGAGATGGGGTTTCACCATGTTGACCAGGATGGTCTGGATCTCTTGACCTCGTGATCCACCCGCCTTGGCCTCCCAAAGTCACTTCATTTCTTAACTCTCCTCTCTCTGTTGGCTTCACTCAGGCAGGCTTTCTACAGCAATATTCCTACAGCTTGATGCCTGTATCTTATCTTCTCAGCATTAACAGTGGACAAGAGTCTCTTAGACTCCAGTAGTCCCAACAAAATCCTGAAATTGTTCCATGATCATGGCTCAAGGTCACCTGCCCTTCACGGAAACAATCACCGTGATCAAAGTAGGCAAGGTCAAGATTCAGAAGTGAACGTGGGAAAAGACCAACAGCAACAGACGCAGTATCTTTAGAGTCACGATCTCTTCCGGCAGAAGCGAAAAATGACACTGGTAAAAATACAAAGCTATTAAAAGGGTCTAAATGGTGGCCTGGGGGCACTGCACACCATTTAAGGGAGCCAAACAAATATTGGGACCCTGTTCCTTCCATTTCCTGACATTGTTGTAATTTAATGTCAAGATCCAAATGATCTGGGCAAACTTGGGCTCTTGGGGAAATGTAGATGAAATCACATTTGAAAAAAAGTAATTATCTTGGAGGGAAGCTTTCCTATGACAATTTTAATTAAGCCAATTATTTTCTAGGAATTTAGATGTCCTAATGGTGGCTAGAACCGTCATTCAATTATGTTCACTTGTGTTTTGTGTCCTTGAACATCTGTGTCCTTTTACACTTTAAAATCTTGAGGAAGAAATGTAACTCTTCCTGTCTGTGCAGTCTCTATTTGTGTAAAGTTGACATATCACCTTTACTGATGACCACCAGGAATGTCTGTCATGCCATTTTTAATGTTACTAGGAGATAAAGGTGATTCTTATCTATATTTTAAAGCTCCAACTAAGAGTATTTTTTTTTCTTCACCTTTTCCTTTTACTTCCCTGAAATTTTAAGATGTGCCTCTCTGACCAGCACTAAATACTGGTGATATTTAGTAGATGGGATATATGAGTCTTAAACATAATTCAGCCAGCCAGGTAATTTATAATTAAATCATACTGAATAAATTTTTTGAGTATATTCTTCGGATAAAATATACTACTATGAGGCAAAGATAGTTGTAATTACTCCAGGGGTAAAGAATGAAAAATGGGGTGATTTGTAAAGTGACAGTCTCCCACGGATTAAAACAGTATTAAAAATAAGCAATTTCTCACTTGCACTAAAATATTTGCATAGTATTTGGAAAATTTACTTAGCCTCTTCAAATATTTTTGTTTTTTTTTTTGAAAAGAGATGTTAAAGCATATTTCATCTCACTAATTTTAATAATTAAGTTAATACAGTGTATACAATTTCTAATAGTGTGCTTCGCATACAATAGGCCCTAGATAATTTTTAGTTTGCTTTTCTTTCCTTATAATTCATAGCAGCACATATTATAGAAGCAAGTTTCTCAGAAATCTGATGTTGAAAAACGGTAGTCAGCAGATAAAAGAGATGCTGTCTCTGCGGTCAATCAGATACTAAATTTTTTCAAAGCTGAACTTTCCTGCGATCGTAACTCTCTTTGGAGCTAATAGCAATAATAATTTTTTTTTTTATAATTCAAAACGTTACAACTGCCATATACTCTCATGTTTGCTGAAGGTGGGAGAAATCAATAGGCACTTAATATGCTTTTAAAATGTAATTATCATAACAATACTACAGCATTTGAGAGTCTTGTGAATGGGGAGAACTTTTACCTTTCAAAGTGAGTTTCAGGCTGAAATATGAAGAGTTAAGAAATGTTTCCATTTGAATACATTTATGACACTTTATTACACCAAGTCTCCGTAACAAGGTTAAGGCAGGAGAAAGGGGACGGTGGAACAGGGAAAGGAAACCTGCAGTATGGGAAAAAATATGAACTGGTGGGAGCAAGACTCTTGTTTTTGTTCTGTGGGTAGATTATCAGTAACTATGGAAGAGATGGGGTTATGAAAAGATGGTCTTTAGTTTCATAAGAATTGGTTTATTATGATATTGAATATATTGGCATACTAAAATCATGAGGCCAAATAACACGTTACCTGGCAGCTGAAAGGTTTTGTTAATAAACGAAATAAATCATTACGTTTTATTTTATGGTAATACAGAGTTTAAAATGTGCTGGAGTTAGTCATCGCTTTCTTCATTAGAAAAGTAAATATGACAACAGTGTGTTTCTGAGGGCTGTGTGGTTTGGTGGTGGCCATCCGGCTGGTGGTCTAACCTCAGCTGTAGTTATGTTTGTATTTCATGTTGCTGGTGTCCCTTCCTGTCATAGGCTGGCAAAAAAAAAAATTCTGCAAAGCATAATCAATTTATCTCTATCAGTCTGTCTGTCTAGCTTCCATTTTCCATTTTACTATTTAGCATTTGTCTTAAAATTGGAACAAGCCTGCAACTCTATCACACACCAATACCATGTGCATCTGCAGAGCTGCACAACTTAAAACCTGGAACGGATATTTGGATTCCCTGTGGCCAACTTATCTGGCTGAAATTACTTGGTATAGCCTAGAAGCATCTGAATTTCCATTACTTTATCAGTGTACCTCGTTAATGATATAGCTTAATTTGCATACCAGTAGTACCTTTTCACCACAGGTAAGAAATTGAAATGTTCAAGGTCAATTAACTGTGAATGTTTCAAGTCGGCTGGTGCAGTTGTAACTGTGAGCGGCGCTGTGAAGAGGGAAGGGTCAGTGAGGGGTTCCTCTTTCTCCTGATGAGAACTGATGATCCGATTTTAACTCACTAGAATCACACTGATTCTTTTTTCCTTGCTGTGTTTCTGTCATATGCCTGTTTTTTAAAATACTGGCCTATGGAGGCATGAACATGCAAGAGAAATGCTATGAAATTCTGCATTTTAGAAAAACATGTTCTCATTACAGGCCTTAGACCATTACAATTAACTAGGAAGGGGAAGAAGCAAATTAATCAGTGTTTTCTTAGAGGAATTGGCTGATACAGCTGCAATTCCATGTGCGGAATTTCCGGGCTGAGATGGTGGCATTCTAGGGGCACTTCATTCACCCTCCCAACTTTTCCTTGTAAAGTAAAAATGACAGAAATACAGAGATACACAGTTGCAGCAACAAGAGAATTAAAGCTGCTTCAATTTCCAAAGTTTTGACAGGGCCTGGAGAGAAAGAGTAAGACTAGATAGGACAGTGGAGGGAAATTCTTATCCACGTGTCATGTCCATCATGTACCTATACTTGAAAGACATGGTCCATTGTTAACTACAGGGAGGGAAGTTGACCCTTCTGCCTGGTAGCTTACTCCTGAGTTTCCCTGACCTCCATCAGCATCAGTGAGTCTTTTCTACGTCCACTGGGAACCACAGATTCCCACATTTGCATCCTGACACTGTGAGAGGAACTGCTGTGTCCTAGTTAAGGGTATTGTGCCTCTTGCCTTCTCCATGGATAAGGGCAAAGTGTTCAAACTTTTTGAATCTAACACACCATGTACTACGTAGATTGCACTGAACATTAATTAGCAAGGCCTTCACAAAGTACCTGACACGAAGGACTCCCTTGATCAGCAAATGTTAAGTGATACAGTATTAGAATAAGGGGAGGAGGATGGATGGTGTTTCATCACATCCGGAAAAATGAAGGATGGAGGAAGCATTGATTCAGATTTTAAAATAACGCCGCGAGAGCATTTCCTGCAGAGTTCAAGAACTCCCCAAGCTATTTGTGGCAGGGTGCTATTTAAAGTGTGCTTCAGATCATTCAAGAACAAATTCCATATAAATAACAATCTGCAAGGGCAGGAAGTGCCCTTCTTGGACAGCATTGCCATGCTAAACAAATGACTCCAAGACACCCAGGGCCCATGTCTACGTAACAAGCGCTCTTGCTTAAAAGATGAGAATATTCTGCTTGACAAGCAGAAAGCTAGATAATATTGGTGTACAAAGAAACTGCACCCAACATCATAGGTTCTTTAAGAACAAATACAGAGAAAATTAAAAACACATAAAAAAAATTGTAGTATGTGAAAAATTTTTGGATCCAAAAGAGAGAAAGAGCATTGTACTTTTGACATATGGAGTGGAATACACTTTTGAACAATGATTCACTTTAAGAAAGATGGAAATTTGATGATGTATCTAGTTCTAAAGACAATATAGTAAGAAACAGGGATTATACTGGAATGCAAGTAGTAGCTAGTGTGATGCCATCAAGAGAGGACCTTGTTGTAATATAATGTTTGAAAATAATTTCAACTTTTATTTTAAAGGGTACATGTGCAGTTTGTTGTAATACAATCTTTTAAAATGCTGCTTTGACCCACTTTTGAAGCCCCGCCTTGGACTGGTCAGTTTCCTTTCATAGCAGCTGATTATGTCCATACTCCAACCACTTCCTTTATTAGGTTCTCACTCTTTGGGGTCACTAAGCATCATTGCTGGGACAGGTGCCAGACAACAAGGGGTGTCCCAGTGCCTCTTAGATAAATTGTTCAAATTAGCCAATTCATAGGAAGCCCACCTGTATGACAAGCCTAGCTAGCTAGCCCTACCCTGCTTGCCATACAGAAGCTGCCTGCAGCAGCTCTGCTTTGCCCTTATCCTGTCTCCTGGTGCAACCCCCCCCATCTCCTGCCTGGAGTCTTCTCCTGTTTGTAGTTGTAAGTAGCAGAGTTCTGTCCTTCATCTATCAGAGTGTCATTATGCTGCATTCTACCATCAAAATAATCTTGAAGTCTTATAAAGCAGTTGTCAACACAGGTGTGTCCCTTCAGATCTTACAATGACATATGCCCCTTCATAAGAGCAAACATTTATTGAGCATTTCTTTGAATTAGGTCTTGTACTCAAGGTTTCACAAAATGGATTATGTATGCCAAGAATGATGCTTGATTCAAAACTATATAAATTAATGGTCATCTATATCTAAAATTCCAGACCTTATTATCAGAGCCTCAAGGTGAGCAGCAAAAGGATAGGGGAAAGAAAATGTGCTAACATTGTTATTTGGGGTGTTATATAATTGATGTTGCATTTTAATAGACATTAATTGTTAGACAAATACAGATTTGAGAAAGGGGATCAAACACTATTTCATAACTTCTACAGTTATTATATGTTACTTATATAATCAGCAATGTTAAATAATTCTGCAAATAATTCCCCAAATTATTATATTAAAGTGGAAGAATGAAGCATCTTAACAAGATATATAGGAGTCACATCTGTACTATTTTGGCGTGTGCTGGATAAAATATAACACAGTCAATTATGCTCCCTCCTTCCTCTCACCCACCAACTTCCTGGTGTGTTGATAAACGAACCGGGTTGGGGGCAGGTGCTTATTGTGCAGAGTTTGCAATTTCCATGGTTTAAACAGTCCCATCATGGCCAGTTGCAAAGATGATCATGTTTAATAACTAGCTTGCAAAATTGAAAATGTAGTGATGGTCTCTCACAAACTGTTGGGAACGAGCTCCAGCCCACCACTGGACAGAGCATCTTTGTTGTGTTATTTTCTCCTGCTCATCCTCCATCATTACTGTTGTTTCTAACGTGGTTTTCTGTATCTGTCCCTCCTGAAGAATGTAAACGCCTGAGGGCAGGAACTATTTCTTGACTTTTGTTTTCCCTTGGACTTAACAATGTACTCCCTTCTCTAAGTCTAAAAATGATCAAAAGTAGATTTTTAGTTCCATCATAGCTTGAAGTTATTTCCTTACATCCAGTCCTGGGGAAAGGGGTAGGAGAGCAGACCGTTACCCAGTCATGCATGTGTGCAGTAGACATGCTAGTCCCCGGTCTTGGTGGGAATGTTCACCTGTCAGATTCAGTATGTTAAACATTCAGCAAGACTCCTAGTTCTCCAAGTTTTAGGAGGCTATAAAACCTAGAAATGAACACAATTAATTAACATAGACATCATAGAATTATACTAAATTCTTCTCTATATTTTTCTACAATTATAAGAAGTTTGATATTTTGGAAATTTAAGTTCCATAGAGAAATACAGTCTTGCTGGCATTTCTGCTTTACTAACATAGATTTTTAACTAACTTTTCTTTCCCAATTTTCTCTTGTTTCTATTTTTAATAAAAGGAGCTGGTGGCTGGTCTCCACTTGTGTCTAACAAATACCAGTGGTTGCAGATTGACCTTGGAGAGAGAATGGAGGTTACCGCTGTGGCCACTCAAGGGGGTTATGGGAGCTCCAACTGGGTGACCACCTACCTCCTGATGTTCAGTGATAGTGGCTGGAACTGGAAACAGTATCGCCAAGAGGACAGCATCTGGGTATGTTCTTTAACAAAATATACAGTCTCTCAGGGAAAGAAGCATAGTCAGTACTGCATCTTGTTTGCCAGTCTCTTAAATTAAGTAGAAATACAGAATCTCCAGACTTAAGTTGAAAACTTTTTCCAAAAGAAAATATGATAAATATTCATTTTCTAATACATTTTATGGTAAATATATGAGAATACTAAGAATAAATTTATTCTACAGGGTTCTCAAAAATTGGAAAAAACAAACAAACCCATATTAGTCCATTAAGTAGTGTGGGGGTCTAAGAAATAAATAAGACTTGTATAAAAAGTTGCTTTCTTCAAAAACATAATAGTCTTGCATCATTATTTATTTATTTATGAGGCAGAGTCTTACTCTGTTGCCCAGGCTGAAGTGCAGTGGCGCGATCTTGGCTCACTGCAACTGCCGCCTCCCTGGTTCAAGCAATTCTTCTGCCTCAGCCTCCCAAGTAGCTTGGATTACAGGCACCCACCACCACACATGGCTAATTTTTGTGTTATTAGTAGAGACAGGTTTCACCATGTTGGCCAGGCTGGCTTCAAACTCCTGGCCTCAAGCAGTCCACCCTGCCTTGGTGTCCCAACGTGCTGGCATTACAGGCGTAAGCCACTGAGCCCAACCTGCTTTGTCTTTATTTAAAGTTAGTAAAAATGATTTACTCCTTTTATTTCAACTGAAAACAGATTTTTGAAACCCTGTTTCTCTGGCATACGGGAATTTATATATATAAAATACGTGGAGTTGTATATGTGTATATATGCATACACATATATACATATATATGATGTATGTATAAACCCTTCTCTAGTCTCTGTAAAGTGTGTAAGTGTATAAATTGCTGTGCATTGTAAACAGTGGTGCAGCTCCTGTAAGAGGGAGACTGGGAAAGAGGCACTTTGTGATAAAGTGGATGAGATTTGTAGTTGATTGATAAATAAACCTGGATATGGCATATAAACACATGATAGAAGAAGGAAGCTAAAGGAAGTTTGTTTGATGACAAAGAAAAG